GCTTCATTGCAATAGTCTTGGAAAGAGCTTTATTGTATATCTGGAGATCAAGATCAGCTTTCTATCAGCATAACTGTAGATTACAGCTTGCAGCCTTTTTTCAGTCTCAGTTTGGAAATAGAAAATACAAAATTGAAAAACAAAATGAAATGAGCTCTACTTCAGTGACACTTTTTTTTTCAAGTGCTTGTAGCTTTAAATAGTTTTATGAGAATTACAAATTATTGTGATTCATACTGCACAGTATTGCTTCAGTACTGCTTAGGTTAATTCCCACTAGAAGGATGCAAATTGCTATTATGAGATCAGTTAAGGAATGCAGAATAATTGCCAATTCAAAAGCGACACTTAAAATAGGTATCTACGAACATACACTATATCGGAAGGAAGAATATCCAAGCTACCCGATGACTTTAATCCAAACTAAGGGGATTTAAAAATGCCTCCTTCGATATAAACCCATTTCTAAGTATCACAGAATCATAGAATAATTCTATCCCTTCTGATATGTTATATGATAATAAACATCTATTCTGTCACTTTCATACAGTGATATAATTATCTGAATATTGCTTTAGATTTTAAAAGAAAAGTCTTGAAAATTTTGGAAGGAACAAACCCTGATAAAACCCAGTCAAGGAAATGCCTTTAATATTAGAGCAGAATTTTCCAGCGTTTTACTATAATAGGCTTCATAGCAGTTTTGGTCCTAATCCCCTTTGAAGGCATACTGGAGCAAAGAAATGAGCTAGTTTCCTTTCCCACCTGAAAGGAACATATTGCCCAACCAGAGCACACAACCATTCATATCATACGTCCAGCAACCGTGTGGGCTCTGTAATAAAGGAGGGGTTTTTTTGCTTAGCCTTTGTTTATTTGCTTGCACCCACTGATAAACACTGACAAAGAGCTCAGGCAAATCAGACACACATGCTTGTGCAGAAACATGTTCTTGCTTCTCTGTGGAAGAACATGTTTCTGCACTTCGAGGAGGTTCTTGGAGCCTTAGAACTCACTCCATGACTTATTGAAATCATGGTAGAGTCCCTCTGGCTGGCACAACAGGAAATGTACAGGCTCCTTGTGCTCCAATGCAGCATCTTGGATCCGCAAGAGCAGTAAACACCATTTGTAATTACTGTTTTTCTCCTCAGACTTCCCTCCCACTTTAAGAGAGAAAAAAAAAAGGGGGTGGGGGAAAGGTCTTGCTGGTCTCACTACTTTCCACTTCACTGGAGGCATTTTTACAAAGCATCTTTTCTTAACAATAATAAAACTCTAGATTTCTCCCTGTTGAAAACTAGTGTGAGGATGGAAAGCTTTTTACTGGTTTGATAATGGGGTAAGTTTTTCACCCTTTACTCTCTTGACTCTTTTAAATAGCTTTTACTAGTATAATCTATCCTCTTCATCTTGCTTCCCACACAGAGAGAGAAAAACACCCCACAGAGAATAGTGTTCATATGCATTTATTAGTTACTATGAGTTTTATTGCCGCATGTTGTGCTATGCTTTAAAAAATTCAAACGTGCATTGCCATCTTAGAAAAGACACTGCATACTTGCTAAGCAAGTAGTACCTTAGTTCCATGAAACCTTACTGGGCAAAACCATTGTAATCCAGCTGCCAGGTATATGAAAGAATTCAATCTGTATTTAATACAATATGGCCTTTAATGAGGACCTAGCATGAGAAAAAAATCAGGCTTAATATCACTATGTGATCACCAGCTCGAAGTTTGGCCCCACCAAGTGAGACAATGTGGTGTACTTTGAGTTCAAATTGCGTTTAAAACCTGTCACACAAAAGCAGTAAGGCACCTAATCCGATATGTCTGAAAGAGCACCCATTTTGTCCACATTCATTTGAAATTATGGTCAGTACAAAGGGAGCCTTCATTAGGGTGTTTTATTCCCACATAATAGGTATAATGTTTTATATTTCATAAATTAGTCTTTAACTTGCCTGAACTCTCAGTCTCCTATGCATAGTTCAGACATGAGGTGGGAAGGCTCATTCCTCTGGCATTGATTTGGAAATCACAGCTCATGATCAGTTGCTAACACCTCAAAGAGCATGCTTTTATTCATCTTGTTTATATAGATTGTTTTTAATACCACGGCTGTTCATTAGGCTTTATGCACTATAATCAAACTCCCTTCTCTTCAGCAATTAAGTAATTTACCAGATGATAGACATTTCTGTACAGGACCACCATACACTGAAAAATTAGGCTCACTTCAACAGAAGCGAGTATCTCTGCACTAATTATCACCAGTGATAGTATTTCTTTCTAGAAAGATAATGAGGCAGATTGTGCTTTCAGTAACACTAATGTAAATGCATAATAATTCTGGCATATCTGCAATGTGGTTCTTCCAGAGCCACATAACCACAGATGGACTGCACTTATTCAGTAGAAAACTGACCCCTGCCTGGATCCAGAACAGCTGCCCTCAGCAGTACAGCTGACTTCAAATGTAGGGGCAAGATCTTTCACCTCTTACCTGAGACATGAGTTGAGTGATATTATTATTGTTACTGTCATTATTAATGTGGCCCATTGTGACTTTCTTTTTTCTTTTAATAGATGTTTGTGTTCTCCACCCTCTTAGCTGACAAGAAGCAACAGAGGAACTGGGACACTTCTGGCACTCAGAAATCTGACTCCACGGATACAAGCCAAACTTATCCTTGTTTTGCTCCTAAAGCATGGAATTGTGAGAAAGCCATTTGGTTAAATCACTGCTAAAATGAGGTATGGTGACATTTTGCTTGTCATCATTTAATCTTATCAATTATATATATATATATATGTGTGTTTCCAAATGGAACTTTTTTCTTTTATTTTTTGACACTTCAAATTCCACTAAAAGATGAAAACACTCCTCCACCCTGGAAATACTTTACCAAGCAATTCCTTGAGCATTGTCACAGATTAAGGATGATGAATCAGCACAGATTTTCATCTTTATAGCCTTCGATATAGTTCTTCACAAGATATCATGAAGAAAATAACTGGAATTATGGGTCGCAATGGAAAGTTAAAGAGCTGTGATGTTATATACAATGAATGGAGTTAATTCAAATCTGCTTATTTCAGCAACCACCTCTTAGAGACGTGTATGACTGTCCCATGCAAATCACTAGTCATGAGTTTCAGTGGCAGTTTGCCTATGTAAGACAAGATGAACCCAACTGATTCTAATCACTGCTTCCTTCCTCTGCAGTAGGAATTTGCACTGTGACACATGATACCAGCTGCTGGACACTGGCTACTATAATAAAAGTTAATTTGCAGGATGGTATGGGCTGCATTAATTTTCAACATGGCAAAATGCTAGCAGTTGACCCAACCTAGAGCCAGTGTTGTTTCATCAGCAAACTGAAAAAGGAAGTAAGTCATGAGTCATATAAAATGCTATAGATGATAATTATTTAGATTAGTCAAAGTCACAGGAAACTGGAGGGATAATAGAGTAAGGTGAGAACATGAAACAAAAGCAGCACAAAGGCAGCTGAAATTCTCTGTAGCTAAATAGAGATTAAAGCATTTACCTAGAAAGAAGATACAATTTATACAAAGTGCAATAGGTTCACCAAGGGACTGAAAGAACATTCCCCCCCCCGAATATTCTGCAGCCTTCTCACTAGGAAGCCCTGCAAGAATTATGGGTGGTTTAGGTTATATTTCTGATTGGTATCAGGTAGAAAAGGGGTTAAACCCCAAGCCTCTGGTATTTCACTAAGTACCCTAGATGTAAGCCCTTGGATTTGGAATGATATTTCTATGCAAGAAAAAAAAGACCATGTGGAACAGCCACATTACAAAAGGCCACAGTGCCTGCTGTGGAACACTGGATGGAGCCCAGTCCATCAAGACAGCTCTTGCTGAGCCCCTAAGGGGCATAAGTAGATTATCTAATCTTGAATCCCTTCCAGGACACTAGCTGGATACCACATTGGTCAAGACATGCAGTGATGTGTGACCAGGCACACAAATCTGACATCGAAAGAGTCATAGTGAGATGGAGCTACTGTCAGACTCCAGGCTCTATTTAAAACCCAGGTATTTTGTATACCCCCCCAAGGTGCTCCTAAAAAGCCAAAAGCTCATAGCGGTAAGGAGTAATAGTCCATTTCTCAAACACGTTACCCACAGTGATGCTGTTGAAAGATAGCCACCATTAAAATTAGTGTTTAAATTGAACTTTCACTTCCAAAACAGGCTTGTAGGCTTTTAAGCCATGGTGAGAAATCTGCACCAAATGCAGCTGGGGTAACCCAAATGATAGTGCTATGTGTGAAAAAAATGTTCAGAGGGACACTCTCTGTTGCTCTAAGCAGCGTGACCAAAATTCACAGCCTGAGGGAAGGGACATGGGTAGCATGGCTGGTTACCCGAGAAGAGGTTTGGTACAAGACAAACATGCAAAACTGTCAGATTCTGCACTAACCATTAGAGTAACTGAAATAAGATTTTTCTTAAGATCAAGATGCAGCAACTGAGTGGTAGAAAGACAATGGAAAGCACAGACAACTGCTTCAACTGAAAATCCAGTGGCAAGAGAAAACAAACAGTGACACAAACAAACCCTAACTGGTTTCCCCACCATGTTCCTTCTCTGAAATGGGAATAAAGCACACACTAGAAATTTTCTGACTGAAAGCCAATGTCGCTTCAAGCAAACAGCCTGCTATCCACACAAAAGCTCTTCAGTTAGTGCAACATCAAAGAGGAGACCCAGCAGCAGAAAATCAGCTTAACTAAGTAGCCCTTTGAGAGCAGCTCTCTCAGGAGAGGCAGCTGAGGCATAAAAACTGCTGGGGATGAATGACATCAATGCAATTTACTGGCTTTCTTCACATAAAGACCTCAGCGTAAGGAAATGATTTAAGAGACAACTAAACTCTGCTAGAGTCATAATTAGTAAATGATAGGTTCCCTTACACATATTGGTGTATATAACTAATTCAGGATAACGCCACAACAAGCTCTCTTTTTTTCCCAACAGCATTTTATTAACGTTACTTACGAATTTGTATTTAGAAAAAATTGTAGGTGAATTTAATTGAAATTCAGACATGGCTCAAATACAAAACGTAAAAGAAGGTGCAATAGTATCAACAGAAGTATAATCTACCACAAGAAATACAACAATGCCTCGAAAGAGGGATTATGCAAGATTTGCAGAAGCTTCTGGTTTTCTGCTTTAACAGCCACTGCATAAACACAAACACCATGATCCTCAGCAGATACAATCAGCATAGCTCTGTTAAAATCAAAAATATGCAGATTTCTGCCATACAAGGATCTTGAGTGCAACTTGGCAGAAATTTTAAATGTCATGAAAAAGTAATGGTAACATTTTCATTTTAGTACTCAAGTAGCTTACTCACTGCCTTTGTCAAGCATGTTTTCTTAACACCTTGACTATGAATGCAACTGTAAAGGACAGCCTACTTTAATAATAGAGCTGAAGTATGTAAAATGGCAGGGCAAGAAACCTCCGAGTACACTTTCGAAAGGTTTCTTTTCTTTAGTAACCAGAGAATGCCAAAAAAGAAAAACAAAAAAATCCATGGTAGAGATTTCTCTCTGTACTCTCCCCAGTTATACTAAGGGACAATCGATTTGTCAACTCTTATTTGTAAAAACTGAAATATTCTCCCAAAGCAGTAGTAACATTCCCCCATAAAAACATGGAAATCTGAACACCTGGCTTTGCCAAAGTATTACTGCAAAAACAACAGAGCAGAAGAACCAAACTTTGGTTCATTCTTCTTCTATTAAATGCAGTTCCTTACAAAAATGTAATTTGGAAATAAAAAGCAGTTCTGAAAGACAGAACTATGTCAGTGTATAAAACTGTGTGGAAACTATCTTACAAAAGAAGAAAGTGGAATCAAAAGAAGGTGTTTCAAACATCCAAGTGCACATCAGCTTTAAGACTTAGGGTTATATGTCTGAGGTTTTTTAATCAGTTTTCTCATCATTTTCCTGCGGAATACATTCGTTGGTTTGTTGATTCCTGGTTTCTGAGTCCCTGCTAAGAAAGTAAAGGAAGCAGTTAGGAAAACAGTTTGACAAAACTGTCACTACTCTTTATTGTTTTGTTACTTTGGGGGTAGGAGGGTGTTACATCAAGCTGTTGAAGCAGTTGATCCAATAATAACAAACATATCAGAAACTGCAGAATGTGTTCCGGACACCATATTCTCACACACATTAAGGTTTCCAGTGTGTCAACCTTTGGCACTTTGGAACTTTGCTGCTCTTTTCCTTGGCAAGCATCCAAGTCTTTTCCAGCTGTTTTGCAGTGACAGCAGTATGGAAGTAAACACAGTGCTCTATTGTGTGTGTGTGTGGTGGGGAAAAATGACTGTTACTGCATCTCTCAGAACAATAGTGGTACATTTTATTATGTGGTATGGTTTAGTGGGAGGTATCCCTGGCCATTGCAGGGGGCTTGGAACGAGATGATCTTAAGGTCCTCTCCAACCCTAACTATTCTATGATTCTAACAGTGGGTTAAAACACAACCAGTGCTTGTGGGAGACAAAAAGGTGAAATTATTAGGGTTTCTGCACAGAACTGAGTTTCACAGAGAAGCTGCAAAGATATTCCGGGTTAACTCTTGAAATGTTTACAAGAGCTACATGAAATGTGTGCGTGCAGTTGAGAATACAAATACTTTGCAAATCTGACTGAAAATCTTTGTCGTTATGCTACCAATCTATTAGCATACAGAGCCCCTGCTGCCAGTTCCAAATCATTTCACTGTCAATCCAGCCTATTTTTCTTTTCCAAAATCAACTTTTTTTAAATGAAATCAAGCATGAAAGTTTTCATTCCAAAAGCTATGGATCAATTTAAACAGCAATTTTATATTTGCCCAGTGAAGATCAACTGATTTGAACTTGAGACTACAAAAGGAACAGGAAAGATGCTGGGGAGGGAATTGTGGGAGAGGAAAAGAGGGAGTGGCTTAAGTTGCCTGAAAGATTTGCTTAATGCTGCTGTACTCCCAAGCTGTAGAAATGAATATGTATAGCACAACATTAATTAGCACCAATTATGACCTTAACTATGGGCTTTGGTTATATCAAGCTTTACTGAATTGTGAAATCCACAAGTTGGTGAAAAAGCTTGTAAGAGTTCATTTATATTTGACTATCTGGTGTTCTAGTTGAGAAAGACATTGTTTCCTTCTGTTTTCCACAAAAGAGTGAGGAAGGAAGGAAGAACCCCGGGGTGAATTTGACTGGGTATAGGCAGGGGCAGAGTACAAAGGCGAGATGCTGAAGCAGCAGTTTGCTTCCTCCTCTCTCTCTCTGCACATTTGGACTGGAGCCTGGCCCTACCATTTTCCAGGTAGATGCAAATTAGATAATCACAAGCATCTCATATAGGCTTAGCTATTAAAGACTTTCTTGTAATACTAGAATGGCAGAGACACACTCAGGCTTGTCACCCTCAGAAATAGTACTGTCATGACTAACTGGCAAACAATATTTTTACTCCTGAGCACTGTGCTCAGCATGCAATCCTTGCCACAGCCCTGGATTTACAGCCCAGAACTAAAGAATCATATCCTGATTTAAGCCTTCTGACTACATACCTTAAATACTGAAGTACTCGAACCCTGTGCACATCTTGGAGCCACTTTTTGGCTTTTTTTCTTTTGTTTTCCAAAGGCATGTAAATGCTATAGAGAGATTTTGGTTTTGGGGTGTTTTTTTTGTGTTGTTTTTTTTTTACCTGTTAGTATCAATTGTTTAAATGCTGTGCTGGCTTCACTTCCTGAGTGCTGTGGGAATCACCATATAATTATGCGTTTCTCTCTCTCGTTGATTTACATATCAAATGAATTAAACTAGAGCATTTAAACTTGTGATTGCTGGTATGAACATATGAGTGCACGTAAAAGCACAACTGCTTTGGCTTCCAAGCACAGTCAAATTTGAATAAAACAATTTAGAAAAATCAATTATCATTCACAATCCTTCCCCCCGTGGCCATGGAAACAGTTGACTCAGCACAATTGATGAGGCAGAAACCTTTAGTAATGGGAATGGGACATGGGAACAGGCAGCAGGAAATCAGGGGAAGGTGGTAACTGCTGAAAATGCAAAGGAAAATAAAAAATTGAATTGACAACTCACTTTAATCCTACTTAAACATATCCAGAAGAAAATGATACCTTAATCAGTGTTCATGCTGGTAGAGAACAGTTTAAACAGTTTATTCCTTGTAGGCTCTAGTCAATTAATTAGTGTTCACTTCTCTACACTTTGTTTAAAAATGGTGTAACCATCTCAGATCACACTGTTCTTGTCAGAAGGAGTTAGTGTTGCATCTCAATTTTTCCTGCCTTTGAAAATAGGAGTCTAAAATGCAAAAAGCATACACTTGTAGCAAGCCAAGGTGAGTAAAAGAACACTGAGTATTTTTTACTGGTATTGGGTCTGCTTTATCTGTATGTGACTGACAAAATGCAAACAATCTTACCTTTTCTGCAGACATTGTAACAATCCATCTCAGTAACGAAGTTATTGGCATTTCCACCACAGCCGGTGTATCTAAACTGCTTACATGATTTAGTCTTGGTGTCATAGTAATAGCGAGGCACAGAAGAAGAACACAGTCCTTCATCCTTTGGGCTATAGCATAGTGAGGGACCAGCTTGAAAAATAAAAGAAAAAAGAAAAATAAATTAAATACATGTAATTTCTATGCCAAGCTTCTTTTGTGGCTAAGCATTCTTCCCATTGAAGTGACATGACTGTCACCAGTGACTTCAGAGACTTTCTACATCTTGTTCCTGTGAGTTACGGAATTGAGAAAGCAATGAACAGACCCAGAAAATAGGATTACTATCCCACGAGTGAAATATATCAGCTTTCCCCATTTGTGGTGCCATACATACAACAACTGAGATATTCACATAGTATCCAACAATATATAATAATAATTCCAGTGGAATGACCTCTGTAGAGGAAAAAGGCATTATTTTCTTTATGCTTCCTATGATTTTGCCAGCAGATCCTGCCCAGTTGCAGCAAAAAGTACAAACCCCATCACTTTCCTCTCAAAAATCATATTTCATTTTGCCTCAGTAGAAGTTTACTTTCCTTGCTGCAGACCTTTTATCAATTTATTGGATGTGCAATAGACAGAAATAATTCAGCATTCACCTAAGAGGATGATGACAATCTGTCATCAGCCAAACATAACTGTCTCATCAAACACTAATAAAGCTTAGGCAGTGACAGTTTTTATACATTTTGGTAGATCTTTCTTCTTCAGAGATCCTATCTCACACTGGCTATTAACCTGGTTATTTATGACAGCACAGCTAGTCACCTGCCATAATTACCACCTCTCTTCTTTAAAGCTCATATGGAAAGACAGTGAAGAGTCATGCCAGGCAGAAAACTTCCATCATAAATTCAGCTGCCAAGTGCCAAAGGCCCAAGTCACCCAACACGATCTCTCAGACCTGAATTTTAGAAAGGCACTTTTGCTTTATATTACAATATCGCTGCCCTGAATATGATTGCCACAACACCTCACACATCTGCCTCAACAACACAGATCTCCAACCGTATTTCCCTTCAGATTACACATGCACAGCTCTCTAGAAGTCAAGAGGTCAGTTGGGTGCAGCTGTGGGCATAAGGTCACAGTAAATCAACACAGCTCAGTAACAGATGAGACAAGTGACACAAAAATCTGCCGGCAAGATATACATCTGCTGCACAGAAGTCTTCAAAAATACCACTGTATGGGTATCCAGAGGAAAACATCAAACAAAATCTCATCTTCGTGTAGCTTTCAAACCATCTATTTTATTAAAAATTTGGAACAACCATTACTTTTCTCTGGCAGACAGTGGTCCACACAAGCTTGCAGATCTCTGAAGTTGTTGCCATTTCCGTAACAGCCGCCGTAGATGAACTCCTCACACCTCATTGAGCTCAAGTTAAAGGCATATCTTCTTAGATGACTCCTGCAAGGTCCTCCATCAGCCTCCATCCGGCATAATTTGGGTACTTCTGCAAGAAATGTAATTTTACCCTCTGTAAACCCTTTGTGCTCCCCACATTACTGAGCAACGTGGTAGTGGAGACTACTCTATTACTCCAGCTGCAGGCAAGTCCCTGCTTGTCCCACTACCTATTCTTTAATAAAGTGGGATAAGACTTAAGGGAGGAATCCAACGCATTAATTAGCAGTTAGGTTTCTCTGCATCAGGGAGAAGCTGCAACAGGCAGGAGTGAGCGATGGGGTTGGTGCAAAGCATCCCACCAGCAGTACACACACCACCACCCCCCCACCACCCCCCACGGGTCACAGATGCGCCTCCAGCCCTGCCGCCCCGGGGGCACTTCAAGGAACCCCGACGGGTCAGCCCCCGGGAGCGGGGAGGGTGGCGGGCCGATCCCCGGACTCACTCTTGATGGTCCAGCAGCTCTTCTCGCAGTCGTCGAAAGTGAGGAAGTTGTTGGCGTTGCCGTGGCAGCCCCCGTAGGTGAACTCCTGGCACCTCTGCGTGTACCTGTCGTAGTACCAGCGCGGCACCAGGGCGCGGCAGGGCCCCTCATCGGGGGGCAGCAGGCAGGAGCGCTGCTTCTCTGCAGGAGACACCGGCGAACGGGGCTGAAGCCACCCCGGCGGCGGCGGAGGCCCCGGCCCCGGTAGCCGACTGCGGGGTCCCACCGAGCGCTCGCTCCTACCTGTGAGGGTGCGTGGGGCCAGGGCTGCGCAGGCCAGCGGCAGTAGCAGCGCGGGCAACGGGAGGCGGCAGCCGGCGGCCATGTCGCGGCGGTGGAGGGCGAGTGGGTGGGTGGCAGTGGGGTCCCTGGAGCGACGGTGCTGCCCGGCCCGACGGCGGAGCTTTATATGCGCAGAGGCGGCTTCCCCAGGCCGCCTCCCTCCTTGCGCATGTGGTGGGAGGGGAAGGTCTGATTCAGCGGGGCAGCAGCTCCCCGCTGACCCGGCCGTCACTGGGGCGCGGTAGGCTGCGCGCCTGCGTGAGCCCGAGCGTCGGGGGGCGCGGGAAGCCCCCCCTCCGGCACCGCCATCGGGGGTCCCACGGTCGGGGGAGCAGCAGGGGCCGGGCGGAGGGTTCTCCGCTGCGGAGCTGCGGGGAGCTGGCCGGGGTCCAAGGCTGTCCCGTCCCCGTCTGTGTCTTCCTGTCCCCCCCCGACCCCTCTCACATTACGGGATGATGCTCAAAGCGCATTTCCTGTTAATCACGGGGAAATCCGAGACTGGCCACTTAGCGAAAGTTCTCTCCCACCTTGTCGTTGCCCCCACGGTGGCCACTCCCTGTTTGGAGGCTCTGGGCAAAGGGCGGCTGGACCCTGAAATCCAACCTTGGGACCCTTCGGCAGATCCTGACTCAGCCGGGTCAAGCACAGGCAGTGCCGCTAGAGAAAACACCAACAAACCCACGTCACGAATTTAGTACCGTTGTGTATAACACCAATGAACTTGAGAAAACCGGAGCACCATCAGCGGGTTTGGACTCCCGGGAAACCCAAGGGCTGAATAGTTGAACCCTCTGGCCAGTTCAAAGACAGCTGTATTTCAGAAAATATGACTTGTTTTACTCTGTAGATTTTAGCCCCACCAGGCAATCCAGTGTGATCTAGGAGGGGGTAAGCAGAGAACAGCATACTTTCCCTGTCTAATCTATTAGAGACATTACATTAATTAGTGTTTACTCCAGATATACTACAGTAAGGGAGATAAGAGTGGCTGCAAATTAGGCGTGCACTCCATAGATAACAATAAATTAATCTGATCTCCTATTGTTCTTCTCTGCTCCTTTTACAGCAACCGTGCCAGGCCCTAGTCCTTCAGGCAGGCTCTGCCCTCGATGGGATTGTGATACAGGGCCCTTGAAATCTGTGGCCTGCAGGAAAGAAGCCACAATATGTACAGGCTAAAAGGAGAAGGAACTTCATAGCAACCTCATTATTTCAGGAACTGACTTTCTGTCCGTAGCTTCTCTGCTTTTCTTATATTGTGGAGGATTACAGCCTAGTTTTCTGACATAAATAAAGACAAGAAAAGGAGCAAATTTAATCCCTCCCCCACCTATGTGGCTTCTGAAAGTCTGTGAATATTGCCTCTCCTTCCTTCTTCAGCACTGTTCCTTGTTTAGAACCCCCAGTTGCCAAGGTGGGTGCTTTAATGACAAAAAAAATAATAAAAAAGTACAGTTTGAGGCATCACTGAAGGACACATCTGCAATGTTTTAGAAACTTACAGCTCCAACTGTTAGCAATGGGTGTCCTCATTTTTAGGGGTTTGTTCAGCTTATTAAGCACAGCAACTGTAATAAAGCGTATGTCCCTCTGGTAGGAAAGAACACACAAACAACATACACTTTACATTTCCAGAAAAAAAAATAAAAATCAAAAGGCCATCCTTCTAATATTAGGAAACTCTCAAGTGATTTCAATATGACTAGAGTGATGTCCTTTAGCTGTCATTGGATTTTGTTGGAATTGCAAAGAAAGTCATTGAAATGCCACTTTAAACAACAGCAGCAAAATGAATGCTGTCATGCAAATACCATTTTCCCTATTTCCCATTTCCTCTGTGCACATACACATCAAAGTTTGAGCTAAACCCACCTATCCATCAGTGGTGCAACACAGTGCAGTATTTGTTCAGCAGCTTCTTCACTGGAACAGCAAAGTTGACTTAGATTAGGTGAATACCTGTAAAAATGGATAAACGTGAGTAAAAGAACTAGCACAGCAAGTGGTACAAAGTCCTTCACTCACTGCCATCAATGGAGCTAGTCATGTCAGCAGACAGCTCACCATTTCAGGGTCATCAGTATCAAGCTGCAGCTGTCCCTCTCACCCTAACCACATTAACCGTGTGCCAGAGCCCACACTCAGCTCACTCCTGCACCCTACACCTGCCACCACCACCCCACACACTCTCTGCCTCCCTTCACTACAACGTTTGTGCTCCCACCAACAGCCCTGGCTCCCTGGAGCCCATGACCTGCTGGCTCCTTCCACCCCTTTCATCTGGCACCAGGACCAGCTGCTGGTGGGGTTTGGGGATGCAGCTGCCAGTCTAGATGACGGGGGTGTAGAAGCTGCATACCAACAACTGGGAGGGGAGAGATAACAGCCAGAGGGAGGGGAAGATTTTAGTTAGCTGTATAAATAAAACAAATGCAAAGCCCAAGAGCACTATAGGAGAAGCACTGGAGAAGAAGGATGTAAATCTTGCATACTGCTGACAGCTGCTTACATCTGGTGAGTGGGGAGAGCAGAAAGGAATCTCTGTAAGAGGAAAAGCCAGAGGTAGAATTAAGAAAGTGTGAGTGCCTATAGGAATCTTTGAAGTGCCAGATAACAGGACTTGTGAAGGCCCATTTTAATGGTCTGAGCTTTGTCCAGTTTAAAAGGTCGCGAATTCTGCCTCCACTGATACTGGAGATCCTAGCAGGAGAGCAGCTGCTAGGATCAGAACATGCACGGGGGATCACCCTGTTTCAAAAAATCATAGTGCCCTATTTGGGATCTAGACCTGAAAAGTATATGCAACCACAGGAGAAGTTTCCTAGCTCCTTCTTGTTCCTTTCTGAACCCATCACTTCTCTTATGGGGAGTGCTCCATCCTCAACACCAGTCGTAACACCATGACTCCAGAGACACTTGTTGCAGGCCGGGCACAACAGCCCTCTCATGCAGAGCTACAATTCTGTTTTGGAGACACAGCTACCAACAGAAGTTGCTGTCTGCCCCTGACAGGCTGGCCACTCGCCCAAGACACTTGACCTGAGAGCAGTTCCTTCCCCTCTCTACCTTTTAATCTGTTCCATTTATAGTTTTAACACACAAGTATGCAGGAACGTGCCCATGCAAACCACCTGCTGCTGCATTAGCTGCTGGGAAGAGGAACACGGAGCCCAGGGATCCTGGTGTCAGAGGCAAAAAAAGAATCACTGCGAGAGCCAGGAGGCGCAGAAAGAGGTGGCAGGGGACCAAGACCTCACCCCTGGGCCAAACCACTAGTCCGACCTTTCTGCTTTTGCCCCACGGTGGTGGTGAAGCGGGAGGGGAGATGCCGGCACCGGAGGGTCGCTGCAGCTCCCCACGCCTGCCGCCGGCTGCCCCTTCTGGGGGCTGGGCGGCGGGGCCGAGCGATCTGCCCGCGGCCGCGCCGGAGCGGCCGGACCCTCCCTGTGCAGGCAGGGCCCATGTCAACGCCCCGGCGGCCCGACAGCGGGGCCGGGGCCGGCGGCGGGCTCTAATCCGGTTAGGGGGGATTAGTGTGGCTGTTTAAAGGCCAGGAAAGGGGCGCCAAGCGCGTCGGGGAGGAAGCGGCAACGGCGGAGCAGCGGGGCAGCCCGGACGGCACAGTGTGAGCGAGCCCGGGGGCGGGCCAGGGCGGCAGTCACACCGTTCCGCGCCCTCCCGGGGGCTCCGGCCCCGGCGCCCTCGCTGCCCAGAGGTAACCCTGTGTCCTCTCTCCCTCTGCGCTTTGGCAGTGTAGACGATGCCAGCCATCAACATCGAGGACCTGAGCGAGAAGGACAAACTGAAAATGGAAGTGGAGCAGCTCCGGAAAGAAGTGAAGCTGGAGAGGCAGCCGGTGAGTGGCCGCAGAGAAAGGCTGCCCGGCCGCCGGGGCGGACGGCAGAGCCGAGGCCGAAGCGGGGAGAAGCCTGTTACTCCCCGGGGAAGCTAAAGGGGCTTATACAGCGCCCGGGGCGGGAAGAGAGAGCACGTCGGGCAGGCGGCGTGGCCGGGTGCGGCGGCTCAAGCGCGGGGCCGGAGTGTCCCGTCCCGCCGCGGCGGTCCCGGAGGAGGCAAGGGCAGAGGGACTTAGGGAGCCGCTTCGCAGGACAGCCCTGAGACGGGCGGGCTTTGCATCGACGCGTCCTGTCAGCCTCTTTGGGGCCAGGACCGGGGACGGTGCTGGCCACATACCACAGCTAGTGCCGTGCCGCAGCGCCAGTCCTTCATGGGAGTGGCCGTAGAGTGGGGAAAAAGGGGAGCGCCGTCCCCGGGACAAGGCGCCCGAGGGGCCGACACGGGCCCGCCGGCTGCGGCTGCTCCCGTTCCATCTGGCACCTTTGGCTTCCCCTCCCTTGCGAGTCCCTGGAGCCCAGAGCCAGCACAAAGCAGCCTTCCCTGACGAGGGAGGAGCGCGTCAAGCTGTTTCCCTCTGTAAAACGCGTTGGGACTTGGCAGTGCCAGGTGAGGGGGTGCTGTGCGGCGGGAAGTCTTCCTACGGTACCGCTCCCTGTCCTATTACTGGACCCGTGCCGTGCCGTCCCGTCCGGGACCGCATCGCATCCGCCGAGCTGGGGGACTGCGGCCGCCCTCTCCCCTCTCAGGGCAGGCTGTGCGGTGCCCGGGCAGAAGGCAGGATTCAGGGAGTGTTGGGCCACCATCCACCCATCCATACTGCCTCATCTGATAGAAACACTGGACTTTGAGTCATTCACACTGATTGTTCCTTTCTGCAGGTGGTGTCCAGTGAAAATTTTGTATTTTTGCACATTTTCTATAGATGAAAGACATGCAGGACTGATCTTGCTCCATGATAAAACTAATACTAATTTTCTTTAATATTCTTTTTTTTTTCTTTCTTTTTTTTTTTTTCTTTTTTAATGAGCAAACTACATTTGAACAAATGATTCTAGTTAGGACTAAAAATACATTTATATGACGGAATCAGTGGCATTAGTCATGCTAATAAAATTGTATATATAGGTATTTAGCCTATAATAAGAAAGCCACATTCAGTTTTAGGTATCAGTTATCAGTGACTGTGGATGTTACAGTACAGTCTAAAGCTCCACCAGTACTGAGGGCTCCAGAACCAAGTGCTGTAGATGTCTGTGTCATCCCTCAGAAAGCTCTCAAACAACTGACATAAACTCTGTAGGATGTAGATATTTTTATTTTAATAATAATAATTTAAAATTCTTGCCTTTTTTGTTTGTTTTGTTTTGGGTTTTTTTTTTTAATAAACCAGAAGCCTGTTCACTTCAGGGAAATGGGTATTTTCGCATCACATGTAGTAAAGCACAGACAACATCTTCAATTTTAGTAGTGCGTTACAGAGGAAGTCTCACTGTGAGAATGTGTTGTGGTTGTCACAGTCCTGTGGTACCTGTGTGACTGATACAAGGGCAGGGAAATGCAGAAGCCACACTTCTGTTGTCACCAGAAGTAAAACATTTAGCGAAAGTTTTATTCACCCTTTCTCATACATTTATAGCACTATGAAGAATGTTCTTTGGAATAATTTTTCAAATTAGTAAAAATGTCTGTGTATTTAAGCAGACATTTTTTTCTTATATGTGAAAAAGACCTTGACAGTGCTGACTGAAGTAAAACAAACCCTGGTTCTGCATGCGCTTTGAAGCACTTTACTATGGTATAAGGTGTCCCAGTTGGAATGAACAGGGTTTGTAAGGTACACAAGAGCAAGGCATGAGTAACGGGATTTATATGTCCAAATTCTTTGCTGTAAGGCAGCTAGAGGTAGTTAGACCTTATTTTATACATCACTTAATTAGAAACTAACTATGAGTTCTTTCTGGTGTCTTAAAGGTTAATTTTGCACAGGTCACAGTCTTGGTCTGTGATACAAGGTAAATTCATGGGTTCTCTTGTTATGATTTTACCTATGGAGTAAAATATAATTAACAAAGAAGGCCTTAAATTAGAAATACTAGTCATCTGGTGGTCTGGCCAGCAGCTGGTTCCTGCTGCTGACTCTGCACTGCTGTGCCTCTGCAGGGATTACAAGTGGGAAGGGAGGAGGTGGGGACAGAGCCAGGAGCCTGTTCTCATACATGTCACACATTCGAGCACCTAAGGGCAGTTTCTGTTGATAGAGAAATGAAACGAGAGGTGTGTGTGCACAAGGATCCTCTGGAGCTGGTGGGATTTGCTTGTGTGCACTCAGGCTCCACTGGCACTGTTGCTATATGTACTGCATGTGCTTCCTCCTGTCTCAGTGAACGAAACTAAACCCATTTCTTCTTCCCAGGTGGTTCTCTGTGGGCTTACCTATACCAGTGCTAGTATTCCATGAATGTCAAGCAGAGTGTCATGCATGTTATGCTCTCTCACAACACAACAGGCTGTTTTATTAACTGTTGGTCAAAATAACCCCAGGTAACCTGTAAGTAAATTGTCTTTCCCAGCCAGGTCTTTACTTCCATTCATGACCTATGGTAGCTATTACAGAACCACAAGGTGACAATTTGTATTACCACTGAAAAAAAATAATTACTGAATGCTTTGTCTGGGAAAAACATTTGAAATCATCAAGACTTTGAATTGAATTGAAAGTTAAAGATCTCGAACCCATTGACGTAAGTCACACTGATGCCGATGGAGGGTGTGATCTACATCTTAAAAACCTGTATTACTTTATTTTAAAACAAAAAAACCCCAACAGTTTAACTATGCAACAAGTGCTGTTCTGAGTGGTATACACATTCGCAGTAGTACTCACATGTTCTGTGAAAAAGTGGAAAAAAGCTGAGTTTGCCCATGCTTAGTTCTGGCTTTGTGCTCAGACCTTGTGTATCTGGTTGGGATGTGCTCCGTAACGCAGCTGTTTCTCTGTTCTTTCCCTCGAGGTGTCCAAGTGCTCCGAAGAGATCAAGAACTACATCGAGGAGCGTTCGGGCGAGGACCCGCTCGTAAAGGGGGTTCCCGAGGACAAGAATCCCTTCAAGGAGAAGGGAGGTTGTGTCATCGCTTAGGAAACCCAGCCCCGCGCCTGTCACCAGAGCAGACACTTGTACCCGTAGGGAGTCACTGGCGTGTCCCCACTGCCGCCGGTCCGTGTTGAACGGGCACAGAAGCGGATTTCTAATTTTTTTTTTCTTAATTCTTTTTCTCACAAAAATAAAGAACCCTTTCCCCCGAAAGCAGCCGAGCCCCGCGTCGCTCGCTTGGCAGGGCCGGCTGCCCCCGACCCCAGCCTGCCCGCTGCTCCTCGCCCGGAGGGGCCGGCTCCTCTGGTTTCGCGGCGCCACTTTCGCCATCCATTTATCGGTCGCTTCATGGCTGTTCGTTGTCATTAAAGAAAGCCTGTCGGTAACCCGAGAGCGTGCCGTGGCTTGCAGGGGGAGAGAGGAGCTGGAGGCGGGACGGCACAGGGCGGTGCAGGGCCGCCGTTAAAGCTCGCCGAGCCGGGCCGCGGCCCTCTCCCCGCGGAGCAGAGGGGACTTCCCGGGAGCTGGCGACCATGGCGCTGCACGGCAGCGGGCGACGGGCACACTTGACCTCGGCGCTGCGCGGCGGCAGCAGCTCGGGGCGGCGGGACGCGGGGTGCGGCAGTGACAGGCCTCAGCACCACGACTTGAGGGCGGCCCCTAGGAAGGTACCGGAGCGGGGGGAGGTTGGGGCGGAGGCGGCGGACAGGCCCGGGAGTGCCCCCAGACATCCAGCAAGCCGCCCGGCGCGGCTCGGGACGTGTTCAAAGAAGTGAAACTTCCCCCTGCTAGTGTCGTAAACAAACCATGTGCTCCCCGCGTGTGACACTGCGGTAGCAGGGTACTTCCCCGCTGCGCGCTGCCACGGGTGGTCCTCGTCCCGCGGGTGGGGGCACCGTGTGCTGTCATTGCCAACTGCAAGGCGAAGGGCTGTTTGTGGCTGCAGAGCACGCGAAAAGGCAGAACAGGGGCCATTTGTCTGCTCCCTTGCCAGAAAGGGGGTAACGGCAGGTTCCAGTAAACCCGAGCCATAAATCAAGACGAAAGGAGGCACTTTGGTAAGGTACCATGTGCACTGAATGCCAAGTGATGACCTGCAAGGAACGGTGCTGATGGTGAACTCTGTATGCTTCGAGCAGTGAGGTCAGTGTCACCTGTAGAAGACTATAATATAATTAAGCACACCTGTCAGCTGGAGAATTGATTGGGAGGTAGAAAGCACGGGTGTGGCCCATGTTGTGGGGCTGTGTCTGCCTTTAAACTGATAAGCTGATAAGAAGTGCTGGAGTTCAGTATTTACTACAAGGAGTAAAAAGTTAACTGCAGCAGTTGGAACATTGCTTCCAATTGGAGCAAGCAGGATGTGACTTCAGAGATAGGTGTTACATAATGGTCCTGCTTTACTGATGGGTAAGTTTGTAAGTTCTAGCTGGTGGTGCAGGGCTCTGCTTGTAGCTTTTTAAAACCAATATGCACTGAGTTGCCAGGTGTCCTATGTGGCTGTTCCTGAGTTATGTGAATGTCGGGGGTCTTTTTTTCCCTAGAAATTAACTTTCATACATTCCAGTGTTGAAACAAGACAGCACAAAGGCCATTTATTAATCAAGTTTTCTATCCCTAAAATAAAACATATTATTATTGAGCTTTAGCAGTTCTAGGCTCATCTTCTGTGTTATAAAAAAGAAACCTGAGCACCAAGGAAAAAGATGTATGACCAGTGTGTTTCCTAAAAAATCAGTTTCATTAGTTTAATTTCTTGTGCCCTTCTGCAAAGCAGAAATAAGCTGCCAGAGAAAGAATCAGTAGGACAAGTTTGAAAGGAATCCTCTCTCTCACCTGGATTAATAGTGCAGGATTTTGTGGCTAATACCACGCTGTCAAATTCATGCTGATCTCATCTGGAGCAAGCCTTTGCTCTTGTATGTCTGTGGAGTCATCTACCTGATGAACTTGTTCCTGGGCACTGTTCCCTGTTACCTGCCCAGGCACTACAGCTGCATTAGTGAATAATCAATGGCCTTCTGAAATGCAGAGGGCAAGGCTAGACTTTATGAAGGCAGTAATCCAGATCTGGAAGATTTTAAATTCCTGCTTTGTCATAGATAGGTTAAGGCATGTGTTGTTTTGTATCTCAGGTGTCTGCAACTGTGTGTTTACCGAAGGATCAGATGTAAAGGGGTAGGGGGAAGTGGCTGTATTAGTATCTGCTGGTGCACTGTGTGACACAATGCTTTTCTTTACGAATACAAGTATTTCTGCCCTTGTTTTTATTCCCCCTGTGCCCCTTAAAGTGTAGCTAACAGTATGCCCTGCCTTTCAGGGTTCAATGCAGATAATTGCACTGTGATTCCACACAAATCCCTGTGATTAATATATTGTAGAAGATATTACAGCAAGCAACATAACCCCAGTTTTATCCTTGTCCTTTATTGTGCAAAATGCTTGTATATCACTTATTTACATTTTATCTGATCATATAGGAAAAAAAATAACCCACAAGTTTATGTCAAATCCAGTCTGATGTTGTTCACCCCAAAGGTTCTAGCAATCAATTTTTGCTTAAGTTAAGCCTGCCCGCAGTGTCTTTACGGTAAACTGAAAAGTCTTCAGGAGGGAATGACCATTCCAGATCTGTAACACATTTTAAGTGTACCTGTTATGTAATTTGGGACATTCTTTCCACTAGCTAAATTCAGATGCAGCTACCAGAGAAATCGGAGAAATGAACAGGGCAATTCCATGAGTAAGAGCTGTTATTTGCCTCCATTAGTTGTATTTTTTAGTCTATTAAATTAATGTATTTTAAATGATCTGTGATTTTTCCAATTGTTCTGAGCAGGATGAGGAAGAGACTCTTATAATTCCAGGGGGCTGTTTTTAGCAAGGGTATTGAAATAACCCTGTGAGTGATTTCCTTTACAACTTTATAGGTCACCACCCTTCCTCTTGGAAATCGAAAACGTAACTTTTCCTTAACTTGTGGAACAATACTTGCAGTGCACTGGTATCCTACAGCTTGTTGCAGTATTTAGATTACAGTATAACTGGCTTGAAAGAAAAAGATTTAACCTGCTTTGTTTGTGTATGCATAATACACAATATGCAGTATTTAGTTTACAGTATAACTGGCTTGAAAGAAAAAGATTTAACCTGCTTTGTTTGTGTATGCATAATACACAATATGCAGTATTTAGATTACAGTATAACTGGCTTGAAAGAAAAAGATTTAACATGCTTTGTTTGTGTATGCATAATAGTATGCATGTACATATGGAATATATGCATGCTGTCCATTTTTTGTTTCCTCTGGCATTAGTAGCAAGAGGCTTTGGGAAATAGGTTTGAGAAGGATTGACATATATTTTGCTGGAGTTGCATGTAATATAAATGAGATTTAATTTCATACCTAGTAGTGACTTGGTGTAGTTACATTCTATTACAACTCTGTAGGATGAGGGGGTTTTCCCCTGTGATGGTGATATTCTCCCAAAGGATACCTCTGCCTAATTTGCCACTCTTGGCTTGTATGTCACAAGTTTCTGTTTACTAATGCATGTATTTTTACAAGATTTAAAGCCCCTTCAAATTAGAGCATGCAGGATCTGAACTGAATATTGACATTCATTGTAACTTTCCAGTAAAATTACCGTAAATTCTCTGTCAAAAGAATATGGCTCTTTTTGACCTTCTGCAAACACTGAAGGGTGACCATCATAGTCACTGGAGCACCTTGGATTGAGTTGGTTTATTGTATTTATAGCAAATCATAAAAAACAGTCACTGAACATCAAAGTAGTAGGTTGATGGTGTTACAAATAAATCAGGTAGAAGTTGGTCTCTTACTAAATTGGGAGAGAGAAAAGACACAGCTGAATCTGCAAAATATGTGACTTGCATCTGTAATTTTAAAACCTTATTTATCAGACGCCCGAGGTAAAAGTTGCAGGCAGTTAATTGTGACTTTAGTAAGGTTCACAGATTTTGCACCGAGTGCCCTTCTGAAGGAAGCAAAATGTGTTTCCAGATTATGGGGAATTTGCAATAGCCTTTGTGTCTGACTGAAATACAATATGAACATTTGGGGGCTAGTTTCCTTGCTGGTATAGATACACAGCAATATCCCTGCCAAGAATTTTTGGTGGTAATTTAACAGAGAGAAAATTTTTGTAATAGAATTTTGTTGTTATTGGAAGGGGCAGCTCGGATGTACCACAACAATAAGCAGAACCATCCCATACATTCACTAGTGCCCTACCGAGAGCTTCTTTTGAATCAGTTCAGGAGAGTAGAAGAGGAAAAAAAACAAGAAGAGTTTCAGTAGTCAAGCAGGCTCTATAAAAAGCTTTTTTCTGATAATCAGATTAATGTCACTTAATGTACAAATGTTTCATTGTGTAACAGAAGTGCAGTAAAGGCAATTATATAAGCAATGCTCTTCTTTATTACTCAGTGTCAGAGTAGTGCATACTACTAGATTGCAGTTGCTGTGTCCAGACATTGGATTTTTTTCCTATTCTATATTCACGTTAGAACACATTTCCACTGCATCTAGCTAAACTTTTCAGTGAGCATTATTTAGTAGAACTGGGCCTAAGGGGTATTTATGTGGTTTGGGTCTAGCTATTATATTGCTTTATCATTGTCACATCCAATTGGATTAGGCAATGGTTACACACTTCTTATAGCCAAAGAGTTTATGACTGAGTAAACAACTGGGGTTTATATACGTCTTGCTGTGACTGATCAGAAAATGTAACTTTGCTTTTTTATGTTGCATTTGCTTGAAATGCACAATTAACTCTCTTCCCCTTCCTGTGCACCCCTACTAATGTATGTGACACCTCAGACAGGCGTCAGGCTGTTCTGAATGCTCAGCTCTATTTCAGCTTGCCTTGCTCTGGACTTTAAATTTCTGGGAGTTGGGATTTTTTGCTGTTTTTTCCTCTCTGTTTGGGCTCAGGAGGAGAGTAAAGCCTACATCCAGCTGCAGTCCTTGAAGGTGAAATTTCATAGATGAATCCTGGTAGGTTAAACAAGGAGACATCCAGGATGATTAGTATGCTGCTTAAAATTATTTGCTGTTACATGGCCAGACTTGTGCATTTAGACAGTGGTTGTTACATTTTCAATGACCTTTAACAGCCAGAGATCCCTGGTCACTAGCCCTTGGTGGTACTGACGGAGATGCATGTACCTTAAGATGGGTTTCAGTGACAAGTTTTTAACTTCTCATTGAAAACTTAGAGCATTAGTTTGTCTGTAGGAGTTAGCCAGGACAAGCTTAGTAATGTTAAGTAATTCCAGAAATGCCATTATATCTGCAATCTGTCGTTTTATATATGGCAGCCTTCAACGTATACCATGAAAACTTAAGATAGGGGAAAATGGTGTGGGTGGTACACTGCACTTCTGAAAGTGCCATAAGTGTCTGAAATGGTGAGATGCAGAGATCCTAAGGAGAAGGGAGCAGTGAGAAAGCCAAACTGTTGCACCTGAAGCTGTTTGGTGGTGGATGTCTGTTTCCTGCTCGTGCCATGTGCCAGGCCAGCTGGGGAGAATGTGCTCTTTGAAAGCTAAAGGACAGGAAGGCTGGAGTATGGTGTATGCTCTGATGTACTCCTGGTCATGCCTGCTGGGGTGTGGTCTCTGGCACAGCTGCAGAACTGGC